AATTCCCTTCTAATCATACATGGATTTCTAAACAGAAGAGACTATCTTCATATCTCATCCCGCCCATCAGGATTAAATTTAAAAAAGGTTTTCTAAAATCTTTAATGCATGATAGAAAAAAATAATAACAAAGGGGGTTCAAGAAGTAAAAATTTGAATAACTTCTTGAAACCAAAGGAGGATTCGAGTTGAAAACCTGAAAAGGCGGCTCAAATATAAAGATCGTGCAGCTGTTGTATAGAAGGCGATATCACAAATCCTTTGATAAGGCATCATACAACCCGAATTTGATCAGGAGAGCTAAGAAAAGAAGAACACCCCAATAGATGAGAATAGAAGCTACTCCATCATATTAGTGAAAATCAAAGAAATGAGAAAGTCATACCTTTGATTAAGACAATAACCTGAGACACCTTGTTCTTTCCTTACTTAACCCTACCTCAAAAATAGCATTAATCTTGACACTTTTCAAATAGCTATAATTTATTAAAGTATTAAAAATGTAATTAATTCTTTGATATCCAATGAACTCTTGTTTTATAATTTCTCTCAATTGTAAAACCTAGAAAGGGGCAATATTTTCAAACATTTGATTAAATATTTTTTAACATCCTTTTAATTGATATTTTCAGACTTCTGAAAATAAAAGAAGAAGAAAAAAGCTTTTCAAATAAGAAAATCTCTCTGGAATGGATTTTGGTAGTTGACACATGGCTCTCAGACACAAAGTTCATGCTTAGAATTAGTGCTGAAGCAAGAAATGATGAATGTTGGGGCATCTTTGGAGATTCAACATCCTGAAATGAACGATCAGATCTTCTGAAGGTTTTTCCTCCACCTGCAGGAACAAGTAGATTTTTTGTTGCCTTTGAGATTGTTTCTCTCGAAACAAAGTGTCGTCTCGCTAGAGACAATTTTCTTAAAAACAAATTTCATCTCACTTGAGAAATTTTCCATCAGAACACAAATTTCAAAGTTGTTTTACTTGAATGAATTTTGTCTAGCTTGAGACAGTTTTCTCTAAAAACAAATTTTGTCTCGCTTGAGACAATTTCTCTCAAAACAAATTTCGTCTCGCTTGAGATATTTTTCCTTTGAGATACAAATTTCGAGTTTGTTTAACTTGAAACAAAGTTGATCTCACTTGAGATTGTTTTTCTCAAAACAAACTTTGTCTCACTTGAGACAATCTTCCTTAAGACAAACTTTTCAATTATTTCTCTTGAAACAAATTTTATCTCCCTTGAGACAGTTTCTCATGAAACACCAACCTTTGAGATTGTTTCCCTTGAAACAAGTTTTGCCTCCCTTGAGACAGTTTTGTCTCCCTTGAGACAATTTCTCTTGAAACACCCATCTTTGAGATCGTTTCCCTTTAAATGAATTTTGTCTCTCTTGAGACAGTTTCTCTTGAAACATTTATCCCTAAAGATGGCCAACTATCCTCATCATGTAGGAACCGTATATCCACCGACCAGATCTCCTCATCACGTAGGAGTCGCATCACCCTTAAATAACTAGTCGTCCTTATCACGTAGGAACCGTGTTATCATCCCTAAAGATGGTCATCCATCCTCATCACGTAGGAACCATGTCATCCCCCCGACTAGATCTTCTGATAACGTAGGAGCCGCGTCACCCCTAGATAACCAGCCATCCTCATCGCGCAGGAATCGTGTTATCATCATGCCTAAAGATGGCCAAGATGTCCTCATCACGTAGGAATAGTGTCATCGATCGACCAGATCTCCTCATCACGTAGGAGCCGTGTCACCCTTAGACGACCAGAACTCTTCATCACAGATGAGTAATGTTGTCTTCAGCAACAAATTATCTCTAAATTGACTAGACTTCCTCATCGAGAAGGAATGGTGTCATCTCCAACAAACAATGTACCTCAAAGAGATTAGATCTCTTCAACCTGAATGACCAGTGTCGTCTTCAACACCAAATTATCTCCAGATTGACCCGACGTCCTTAACATGAAGGAATAATGTCATCTTTAAGTCCTCTATTTTCATAAAAAGAATTGAAGCTCCAAGCAAACATCGTAGCTAGACAAAATTAGGCCATTATTTATCTTTGCTTCGTCATTGTTTACACAATAGACGAGCAAAGAGGGGCAGCTGTAATACACTAATTTTGTCCTAAAAATAAATAGGGAACAAAACTGGGACTAAACTTGTAATATTATCATTTGTAATTTGGTGGGCTTTAAAAGCCAATCAAAAGCAGGAAACAAGCTCCCTCCCCCTATTTTTGGGAAAAACCAGAAAGAAAGTAAGAGCCCCCCATTTTTAGGAAGCCCCGTGTTTTGTAAATCAAGGAGATTGCTTGTAACTCTCTCGCCCTTTTTTGGTAAGCCCTTGTTTTTGTAACCCCCTGTTCCCGTTTGTAAGTTCTAAAACAATAAATAAAAAGAGTGTTATGTTCTCTTCATGATTTGTTTTCTTTCATATATATATATATATATATATATATATATTAGCCTCGTTACGTAAAGGTGGTGAGGGTATAAGCATTAGTGTGGTTCTACGTCACCAGTGGAGAAGTCATTATTTGGGTTAGTTTAACGTCCCGACCACCATGGATGGTGGTCGGAGGAGACGAAAGATGCCCACATAGGACATTCGGGTTTCACCCGAGGGGTTTTGGGGTCTTTTTTTAGTTGGTTCGGGTTTCACGGGTTGATTCCTCGTTGGTTAGGGCGTGTGAGGACCACCTTTCTCGGTGGTCAGCGTTGTTAGCATGGTTTGAGTTCTCATTGACCAGTCGTGCGTGCAGAGAAGAAAGGAGGGGACAATGTTCTATTTTTTGGGTAAATTACCTATAGGTCCCCAAGTTTTAGGCTTCATATTGTATTTTGGTCACTTATTTTAGGGGCTAATCTCCCATTAGTCCTCCCATTTTTAGCGCCACTTTACATTTTGGTCACTATAGGGGAAAATCACCTTTGAGCCCCCCTATATTTTAGCCTTTTTTGTACTCTGGTAATTTATTTCTTATTTATTTTGAATATGCATGCATATTTTACTAACTTTTAATTTGGTCACTATTCTGCTATATTATTTATTGCATATTAACCACTAACTTTTATTTTATTGCACTTTAACCTTTGTTTATTTATTTATTTATTGTTTCTATTATTCGATTCGACCTTGTGGTGACCAGATCCATGGTATGATCGATATTATTATGATTCAGACTTTGCTAACTACTGAATTTTATTTTATTGCACTCTAACCTTTGTTTATTTATTTATTATTTCTAATATTTGATTCGACCTTGTGGTGACCCGATCCAGGGTATGATCTGCATTATTATGATTCGGACTCTGCTAACTGCTATTTTTTCTAACAACTAACTTTTCTAACCGCTAATTACTAATTGTTAACCTTTTATTTATTTATTTATTTATTTATTTTATTTCATGTTCGCACCATGTACAACCTTGCGACAATTCACCCCGGGGTATGACTCGCATCATTTACGGTACGAGATACATAATAAAATTCAATATTAATATTTTATTTTTATTGCATTTTATTTCTGCTATTTAACTTTGTGCACTTTTAAATTTATGTTTTTTTTATTTTCTTTATTTAATTTTAGTATTTACATTTATTTTCTTTAATGTTCTAATCGTTTATTTCTGTCTCTTTATTTTTCAGTACTTTAATTTTATTCGTTTAATTATTGCGCTTTATTATCTATTTATTTTACTTTTATAATTTAAATTTTTCTTAGTTATATTTTATTTCCTTAAATTTTTTCCATGTATGAATATTATATATTTATTCGTATCATTTATGTATGTATATGTTCTTTGCTCTTGGGAATTGGTTTCAAGCGATTATACAAAATATTTGTTTCATTCATTTTTAACGCTTTTTTTTACTCTAATATTTTCAAGATCACTTATTTGTAGAATGGGCGTGGAAAGCACTGCTTGGTGGAAGTAGTGTGATCCGATATGACATTCGAACGAAATAGGAACTTGAAATAAATCTAAGTTATTTTTAAAGTGCTAATCAATTTATTTTTATTCAGACGACGCAAGGCATGTTTTTACTAATGTATTTTATGCAATTATCGATAGTTTATTTATATTCGATTCGGGTTTTCTTATAACATTGGTGAGGGGGAATATTTTTTGTGTAAAGGAGAAATAGACGAGATAGCCTTCCCATTGGAGGATGTGCAAATCTCGTGATTTCTTCTTGAATTAAGGAATGTTCCCTAACAAATAATTCGAAGCAAATTAATTAAACTTTCATAAATGGATAATTTTCTAACTTTATATTCGATTTATAATTTCCACTACCACGACAATATATAAGCAACTAAGTACCAATTTTGGGCTCTATGGGGGTGCTAATCCTTCGCAACGCATAATCGACTCCCGAACCCGTTAAATCAGATTTTTGGTAAACACAGACCAATTTTTGTCTTACAAAATGATTTTTCTTAAAATTATTTTAAAAGACGTTTTTAGGTATTCGACCTACCTATCTCAAAGGTCGATGGAGACTCTCATTCAATTTAATTCAAACCAATCCAAAATCCACCAATTTTTCAAATAAAAGTCATAATTATTATTTAAACTTATTTGTTTATAAAAAAATGGTTATGACAAAACTTATATTTCGTTAATCAAACGAGAAATAAGATTACCGAAATGTAACATTACTTTTGAAATATTGTTATATATTGTTTGATTTGTTTATCATGGACATAAGATTATAATATTTTTTATTATATTATTTGGTAAGATTATAATGTTTGACGAGGGGAATATAAAATTATTTGAATACATATTTTACTAAATTATCCTTGGGATACATGTTCTTTTCAACAAGATAAACTTTCAATATTAAATTACATATATTTGCATAAAAATTTATAAACAAATATTTTATATTTTATTAAGAAATCTTTTTTACTAAACACAATAAATAGAACAAGCTACATGGCCAATCGTGCACTATCCTCAACCGCATCTAAGTGCGAGCTGCCCCTACTTCAGCATGGTACTTCAACAGAACTTCTGTTGGTGGGTTACGAAAGGTATGTAATCTAAACGAAAGGCTCCAAGCTAGCCAAGCCATCGCGTCAGCAACCAAATTCCCTTCCCTTAACACATGCACAAATTGCAACTCCCATTCTTTACGAATAATTTCAATGAGGTATGGAACAACACTTGACACCCGATCCATATTGATCCTACAGAGCAAAAGCTTCCATACTTCACTACTATCAGTCTCGATAATTACCCGCCTCAAATCGAGTTGCCACGCCAACTCCAAGCCTTCGAGGACACCACACAACTCCACATCCAAGACCGAAAAAATCCCCATAGTTATGGAGAATCCACTTGATGTGATCTAATTCAGCATCATGTTTAACTTTGCTATTCCAACCTTTCAAGGGAAGAAACTTTCTAACTTTATACATAATGATGCCTATTTCATATGCTATAACATAGTTATATTCATATACATATATTACATCTATAGCTATAATGATAATAACTTATTCATTACTATGTGAGTTATAAGTTATTATTATAAACTATAGTACACATCTTTATCTTATTCATATATATATAGTTCATATACTTAACTTATTCTTTATGTTATGTGTGTATGTACATTCGACCACAACTTGGGAGCTATCTTGGAGCTAAATGGAGAAAGCAAAGGCAATGAAACTTATATGGGGACGTTTAGGAGAGCATATGGAACATTTGGTGAAAAGTTGTTTGGATACCCGTGAGCTCATAGCTGGATTGAGCTGAAGATTTGAGCTACAAAGATGACTTCAATTCAGCTGGGTAGTTGCACCATCATCATCACCACTTAGGACACTTCAAATATGTCCTAATTCAAATTTTGTGAAATCGTACCTTTTCGCGAATAGTTGCCACCTCAAGAGGTACCTTTTCACAAGGAGCTACCATAATGTTCATCATTCTATAACTCACTTATGGCCAACTAAGCTCCAGCTCATTCACCTTAGAACTAGCTCAAACATGAAAGGTTACCTTTTCAAACATTGTGACCTTTCATGAATGATGCTGCCCATGAAGATGCTCGTTCATCAAAGAGTACTTTGATGAAGAGATTACACCCATTGGAGGCATGAATCGTCAAAGGTCATGAGACAAAGCTCCATGCCTATTCAGCCATACCCATATGCTTTGCACATGAGAGGTTTGGCGCCAATTTGAGGAGACACAACACCATTCGGCCAAAGGAGATGTCTTTGGCGCCAAGATGAACAAGCATGACACCATTCGGCCAAGGAAGATATATCTTCATCCTAGCCGAACTGACATATCTCCTTTGAAGAGGTAGCCGAACCATCACCAAGCCAAGGGACTCATCCTTTAATCTCAAGCATTATGTACTTTCAATAGAGACATGTATCTATCCGAAACCTTATATGACTATTCGGCCAAGCCCTCTCATTTCCTATAAATTGAGAGGTTGGTCATCATTTGTAACCATCTCATCTCATATTATAAATAAACCTTTGTCAGTTAAATCTCTCTTCAAAGTTCTTTGTGAACTTTATCGATTAAGCAAGTATAATTTCTTATACTTGTGGCGTCATTCCTTCACCTTGATTCCTAAATTCCTAGATTTTATATCTAGTGGGTTGAAGACACTATCACCACCCCTCAAGCAAGTTTGTGAAGATCAAGATTGTGCTTTCTAGCATAGTTTCTTCTTTGGCGTGTTTGAGATACAACATCATCACCATCTTCCATTTCAACATCAACACCATCAACCATCTTCCATCAAGGCCACCAACATCTTCATTATAATTTCGTAGCCATCTCTTTTTTATTTTATTCCATTAATTATTTACTTATCCATATCTATTTCCATTTCTAATTTCCATCTCTTTTAACTTTGTTGCATCTAATCTTATAACTCAAGGACATCAGTACTTGTCATTCCTAGACCAGGTAATGCTATCTACTCACTTCCATTGAAGAGTGTAGATTCAGCCCACATCAAGCAGTATTCAGAGCATAGTTGGATTGACAACAAAAGTGTCATTGGCGTGCAAAAAGAAAAGAAAAATAAAAGAAGTTCAAAAAAAAGAAATCAAAAGCTCTTACAATAATAAAAGGAGTTCAAAGAAGAAAAAAAATTAGAAAAGAAGAAAAAGAATTTCAATCAAAAGAAAAGCAAAGCCAAGGAAAAGTGCTCTACCATTACAAGTACATCAAGGAGGCATACCTACACTAGAGAAGATAACCTTATTGTTTCTTGTGAAAGGGTGCAGTAAGTGTTGTTTCTTGGGTTGTAAGTCACCTATTCTTTTCTATACTTTTATTTTCCTTGTCTTCAACCTTTTTCTTCTTTTTCATTACCCTTTTGAATCCTTTCTTCTACCTTTCCATTTCTTTTCCTTTCTACCCTAACCTAATTTGCAGCCGTACACAAGAGAATAACTTGTCTAATCTTGAGTAAGTTCTTCAAAGGACTTAGTAAGAGAGATCGAGTGGAAAATAACTTATTGAGTGAGTGAGATCAAAAGGGGAATTGTAAAAGCCAAATCATATTCCCTAAAGTAAACACGAGTGTTGAGTGGAGTGATCTTATCTTTTCTTTGGAGCGAAATTTGTGAGGCTTTGTGAGTGTGCTGGTAAGGTTTATTTTATTTTATTTTGTTTACTAAACATGTCTCAAAGTCCTAAAGGAAATGCAGGTCAACCAAACTTGAAAATGCAAGCATTGATTGGAGAAATGATGAGAATGTTTCGTGAAGAGTTTGATGCTCTTCATGATAAACTAGACTAACGTCGAGATCCACCACAAGCTCGAAACAATGATACACCTCGGAGATAACAACCTCTTCAAGAAGATGATGTCCTAGACAACTATGATGGAGAAGAACCAACAATGTTACAAGGACCTAGACGTGCCAATATTGATGATAACATGAGTAACATCAAAATCAAGATTCCTCAATTCCAAGGAAAAACTGATCCTGAAGCCTATCTTGAATGGGAAAGCAAAGTGAAACATGTTTTGTAGTTGCCACAACTATTCCAAACTAAAGAAAGTGAGATTGGAAGCCATGGAGTTTGTCAATTATGCTTTGATATGGTGGGATCAACTTACTATTACTATAATGAGGAATGGAGAGAGACCAATATCAACATGGCTTGAAATGAAAGGTATCATGTAAACATTCATTCATGTTCATTATCACGGGGACTTGTTTCCAAAACTACAGAATCTTAAACAAGGCCAACAGAGTGTGGAGGATTATTATAAGGAGATGGAGTGGCAATGATTTGAGTCAATATTGAGAGGATCGTGAAGCAACATGGCTAGATTTCTTGCGACTCAATCAGAAATGCCAACACCTTGGGTTATACCATTATATAGACATGAAATGTTTCAAATGTGATGAAGATAGAAAGGCAACTACGGAGAAGATCTACCTTCACAATGCCATAATTACACCTTCAATGGAGTCCAAATAGCTTGAAGAAATCTACTCACTCCTAGAAAAGACAAGGTCGAATCATCCAATGCTCGACAACGCAACAAGGATAACCAAGGAAAAGAAACCCCTGAATGGTCAAGAGACATTCGGTGCTTTAAATGTCTTGGGAGGGCATGTTTCTACACAATGTCCCAACCAAACACCATGTTACTACTTGGAAATGGTGACATTGAATCTCACCATGAAGAAGAAACAACACCAATCGAAGTTGATGAAGAAGAGAAATTGGGGCTCTCATGGAAGGAGAAGCTCTGTGGTTAAAACAAGTATGAGTTCTCAAGTGGTAGAGGACAATGCACAATGGGAAAACATCTTTCATACCTGATGCCATGTGAACGAAAAGGTGTGTTTCATGATCATAGACAGTGGGAGTTGTACTAATGTAGCAAGTTCAATCATGGTGGAAAAATTGGGATTAAAACATTGAAACATCTAAATCCCTATAAACTACAATGGCTTAATTAACAAGGAGAACTTAACTTCAATAACAGGTGATGGTTCCTTTTTCAATTGGAAAGTACAAGGACGAGGTTATGTGTGAAGTCGTTCCTATGCATGTTAGCCATTTACTTCTTGGAAGGCCATGACAATATGATAAAAAGACTATCCATGATTTTTTACCAATCAATACTTGTTTAACCATGGAGGGAAAAGATTATTCTTACACCTTTGACCCCTAAACAAGTCGAAATTGATCAAATCAAGATGAAGCAAAGTGTTGAGGCTATGAGGAAGGGTAAATCGAAATTAAGCAAGTAGGAAACTAGTCAGAAAACAAGTGCTTATACATCTAAGTGCTTGTTTCAAAAATGCTTATTGTCAAGACACAAGATCAAAGAATATTTTTCTAACCTTGAAAATGAAGAAATTTTCTTTGATTTGCAGGATGCTCCAAACAACACAATTGTCAATTTAGAGAATAAGGGACATGCCTTTCAAGAGCGAAGAGGTGTGTCTAATGAAAGTAAAGGGATGCAATTCTTCATCCAAAGGGCGTGACTTATGAGGATTACAAGGATATCTCTATTCCAAAAGACATAACCTTTCGTGATTCAATGAACATCTATTGGAGGACCAAGGAACATGATTTTGGGATTCTAAGGGACAAAACATTCAAAGCAAAATGTCTTCAACAGACATGAACTATGAACATTCATCTAACATGGAGTATTTTAATTTTAATTACGCTTAATCAAACTTTTTCTTATGAAATTTTCTTTCTTTTCAGATCATGGACTTTCAAAGCATTCATTCACAAGACATGACCTTTTCATAAAGGTACTTGTTGAATGGAAGGATAGTAGAAAGAAAGCCTTTTGATTTGAGGACAAATCGATTAAAGAAGAGAGGATGATGTGATCCAATTCAGCATCATGTTTAAATTTACTATTCCAACCTTTCAAGGGAATAAACTTTCTATTTATACATAATGATGACTATTCATATGCTATAACATAGTTTATTCATATACATATATTACATTTATAGTTATAATGATAATAACTTATTCATTACTATTGAGTTATGAGTTATTATTATACTATATAACATCGTTATCTTATTCATATATATAGTTCATATACTTAACTTATTCTTTATTATGTGTGTAGGTACATTTGGCACAACATGAGAGCTATCTTGGAGCAAAATGGAGAAAGAAAAGGCAAGGAAACTTACACGGGGACATTTAGGAGAGCATATGGAACATTTGGTGAAAAGTTATCAGAGACCCGTGAGCTCATAGCTATTGAGCTGAGATTTGACTACAAGATGACTTCAATTCAGTTGGGGAGCTACACCATCATCATCACCACTTAGGACACTTCAA